ACTCGTCAAAGGTGACGTCACGAGAGTGAAAGAAGCGGTGAGACGGCGGGTGGTAAAAGTGCCAGTCGGACGCGTCAAGGGGAAAACCGAGGAAGACGCAGGGAAGGGTGCGGGCAGTGAGCTTGTCCGTGCCGGAGGCACGGACATGAGCAAGGCAGCCCCAGACGTGGAACGCAGACGCGTCACCAGGGGACCCAGTCCAAAGACGGGTCGGCGAAACCTGCGGCTGCTGAGGGTGCGGCCACAGGTTAAGCTGGTGAGAGGCGTAGCGCACAGCGAACGGCCACAGAAAATGGGGTGCACCGGCATGGATCATGGAGGTGCGAGCGACCTCCATGACCAAACCGATGCGTCGCTCAGCGACCCCATTCTGCTGTGGGGAGTCCGGTAGGGTGAACGTCTGGGTGATGCCCTCCGCACAACAAAAGCGACCAAGGACACCGGAGGCAAACTCGCCACCACGGTCTGAGTGAAGACGCAAGACAGGGAGACTGCGGTGGACACGCGCAGAGACAAGCCAGGGGATGAGAGCGCCAGGCACGTCGGCCTTGCGCTCCAGGGGAAAGACTGTGGTGTAACGAGTGAAGTCGTCGACAAGCACAAGGAAGTAGCGCTCTCGACGCGGCCCAGGGACGGGGGCGGGGCCCCAGACGTCCAGGTGCAGGGTCTGCAGCGGCGCGGCGGTAGGGGGAAACGAGGAGGAGTGAGGGGCACGGCGAAGCCGACCCTCGACACAAGGCGTGCAAGGTGGGGCTGGAGAGGAGGGAAACGCGGGGAGCGAACCTGGGAGACCAAGGACGAGACCGTGCTGAGACATGTGACACAGACGCGGGAGCGCAGGGTGACCTAGGCGGTGGTGCCACAGGAGGGTCGGGTGAGTGAGGGAGCGACAGGAGCAGGCAGCAGCAACCTGGGTAGACGCAGCCACGTGAGGGGGCGCTCCAGCCGGGGGGGTCACGGTGTCCAGAGTGAACAGGCCGGACACCGGGTCCCGGGGGAACGTGGACAGGGGGGCACCAGTGGCGGCCTCGGTACAGACAGCATACCGCTCGTGACCAGGGAACGTAGTGGTGACGCCAAGGTCCTGGAGGCAGCCGACACCAACTAGGTTCCTGGAGAACGAGGGGATATGCAGACCTGTAAGAGAACCCGAAGGAACCGCCGGACAGGGAAGGGTGGTGGAACTGCGGGCGACTACCGGACCGCCGGAGGGGTCAGCAAGAGAAACGGCAGCAGGAACAGGAAGCGGCGTCAGGGTGGTAGAGTCGCGGAAGAAACACCGAGAGGCGCCAGAGTCCAAGGTGAAGGAAAGCGAAGCCGAGGGGTCTGGCGACGGAACGACGGCGGAAGCACCAAGACTACACAAAGCAGGGGCTCCTACGCCTGACGCAGCAGGGGAGGCTAAGCTAGGCACACATACACTAGGCAACAGTGAGTAATAAGCGGGAAGCACACTAGAGTCATCAGCATACATCACATGCAGAGCAGAAACAATGGCATCCATGTCCATATCAAAAATCTGAATCTGACGACTAAGCAAACTGTGCCAGTCCGGGAGGTCTGGCGACGGGCCGAAGCGCTGACGAAAGAGGTCGTCCAGGCGACGAAAACAGCGGGGAGTGGAATGACCGAGCTTACCGCAAACGAAGCCGCGGCGAGGACCGGTCTGGATCTGGTACTGACAACGCCCGCCGCCAGAGCCACCACGCGGCACACCACCACGCGCCCGTCCACCGCCAGCGCCGGGCCACCCGGGCGGGAGGACACTCGTCTGCCGCGTCTGCGACGGCTGCTGCGGCTGCTGCGAAGGCTGCGACTGCGGCGGCTGCTGCGGCTGCTGCACCTGCAGGGGCGGCGACTCAGCTGAACTGGGCAGGGTCCCCTCGTCCACTCCAGCACCAGGCGACCCGACCCCACCACTACCCCCGCCCGCACCCCCGCCGCCTCCTCCGCCGCGCCCAGCCTTGGGGCGGCGGCCCTTCCCGGAACGGACCTGCGCTGCAGCAGCAGTCTCAGCCACTGCGGCAGAGCCGTCGGAGAAGGTGCACTGAGCGGGGGCACAACCCTGAAAGATAGGGACCGGCACGACACCGCTCGCCTGGGCAATGGAGCGATGACGGGTCTCTATCACAGTCAGGGTGTCTACAATGTCAGTGAGGGTGAGGTCTGCGGGGTGAACGCTAAGAAAGCGGTCGCGGGCGACAGCAAGGCGGTCAGGGAGGCGGGTGGCAAGCAGGTAGAGGGTAGAGGTAATGGGCGGCTGGTGGGCTCTAAGCTGGGCGTCAGTGCAAGCAGCGCGCCAGGTCTCATCTATCGAGCGCAGGTGGGCAGCGAGGTCAGAGACAGTGGGGAAAGATGCAAGGTCAGGAAAGAGCAGCGGAAGGATCAGGCGACCCACCGAGGCAGCCGGAGGGGTGGAATAGCGCTTGATGACAGCATCTAAGTATGCCTGAGCAGTAGTGAGGGACCTAAAGCGAGGACGCTCGGATGGGGGAAGGGCGTTGCTAATGGCAAGCTGGGCAACAGCATCGCGAGAAAGCCAGACAGAGCGCGCACGGGCAGTGGCAGCAGTAGCCTCACGCTCAGTGGGTATGGGGTCAGCGGGCAGAATAGCAGGGGGGTCTGGGCAGGGGAGCGTACCGTCAAGGTGTGCGGAAAGCGGTTCACCATCCTGCCGCTGGCCAGTGAGTTGACGGCGGAGGTCGGCAAGCCACGCCTCGAACTCTAGGGGCTGACCTTCAGCGTCGAAGCGAAGCTCCGCCGCCATCAGGAACAGTCCAGTGCAGTGCAGGGTAGTGCAGTGCGGTGCAGTGCGGTGCAGTGCGGTACAGTGCGGTGCAGTGCGGTGCAGTGCGGTACAGTGCGGTGCAATGCGATGCAGTGCGGTGTAGTGCGGTGTAGTGCGGTGCCAGGCAGTACAATGTGGTGCGGGGCGGCACGGAGCAGGGCGGGGTGGGGGGGAACCGTACCAGTGAGGAGGACGGGGTCGGGGCTGGCCCGACGGGGCCGGGCAGGCGCGACGGGGCCGGGCTGGTGCGACAGGGCCGGGACGGGGCGACGGGGCCGAGCGGGCGCGACGGGGCCGGGCTGGGGCGACGGGGCTGGGCGAGTGCGGCAGGACCGGGCCGGTGCGACGGGGCCGGGCGAGCGGGACGGCGGCCGGGCGGGTGCGACGGGGCCGGGCGGCTGCGACGGGGCCGGGCAGGGTGGGACGGGGCCGGGCGGGGGCGACGGGGCCGGACGGCTGCGACGAGGCCAGGCAAGGGCGACGGGGCCAGGCGGCTGCGACGGGGCCGGGCGGGCGCGACGGGGCCAGGCGGCTGCGACGGGGCCGGGCAGGCGCGACGGCGCCGGGCGGGCGCGACGGCGCCGGGCGGGAGCGACAGGGCCGGGCGGCTGCGACGGCGCCGGGCGGGCGCGACGGGGCCTGGCGGCTGCGACGGGGTCGGGCAGGGTGCGACGTGGCCCAGGAGGGGCGCGACAGAGCCCAGGAGGGGCGCTACGGGGCCTGGGCGGGGCGCGACGAGGCCCAGGAGGGGCGCTAGGGGGCCTGGGAGGAGCGCAACAGGGCCTGGGAGGGGCGCGACGGGGCCTGGGAGGGGCGTTACAGGGCCCAGGAGGGGCGCTACGAAGCCCAGGAGGGGCGCGACGAGGCCCAGGAGGGGCGCTACGGGGCCCAGGAGGGGCGCGACGGGGCACTACGGGGCCTGGGAGGAGCGCGACGGGGCCCAGGAGGGGCGCTAGGGGGCCTGGGAGGAGCGCGACGGGGCCTGGGAGGGGCGCGACGGGGCCTGGGAGGGGCGTTACAGGGCCCAGGAGGGGCGCTACGAAGCCCAGGAGGGGCGCGACGAGGCCCAGGAGGGGCGCTACGGGGCCCGGGAGGGGCGCGACGGGGCGCTACGGGGCCTGGGAGGAGCGCGACGGGGCCCAGGAGGGGCGCGAGGGGGGCCTGGGAGGAGCGCGACGGGGCCTGGGAGGGGCGCGACGGGGCCTGGGAGGGGCGTTACAGGGCCCAGGAGGGGCGCTACGAAGCCCAGGAGGGGCGCGACGAGGCCCAGGAGGGGCGCTACGGGGCCCAGGAGGGGCGCGACGGGGCGCTACGGGGCCTGGGAGGAGCGCGACGGGGCCCAGGAGGGGCGCGAGGGGGCCTGGGAGGAGCGCGACGGGGCCTGGGAGGGGCGCGACGGGGCCTGGGAGGGGCGTTACAGGGCCCAGGAGGGGCGCTACGAAGCCCAGGAGGGGCGCGACGAGGCCTGGGAGGAGCGTGACGGGGCCCAGGAGGGGCGCAAGGGGGCCTGGGAGGAGCGCGACGGGGCCTGGGAGGGGCGCTAGGGGGCATGAGCGGAAGCGGTAGGTGGGGGGGATCCTACCTACGCGTGATACCATATCAGAATTGGAATTGAATGATTGGTAAAGTGAGAGTACACACAAATATACCTAAGTGTTGTACCCTCTAAGAGGTAACCCTAAACAGTCTATACAAACATGACAAATACAGATGTTTGACACTAACTGGCCCTTTGCCAAATCAGCACTCGATGTGTGCTGGTGGGGACTGTGTGAGAGAGGGTGCTGATTGGCCCTTCAAATGTTTCTGCCGATGTGTGCTGGAGGGTGTGTGTGAAACGTTCATTGGCCCTTCACCAAATCTGCCACGCCCCTCCAATCCAATTTCGCCCCACACGTACAATTCGCTTGAGTCGTAAGTTCGTCAAACGTGTCGCCTTGTACATTTCGTCAAGTCAGCAACATAACCCAAGCTCCTATCCATCCTAAGTTCAAAAACAGTTTCGCTATTGCAGTCAATGGCTTTAAATTGCAATGTAGTGGCAATAAAGAACAGGGTTGTTTCATATTTACCCTGTGTAAACAGCGCTGCAAAAAGTTTACCCTGAAAAAACAGACTACCTTGAGTTGCGTACCCTGAGTGACAGGGTGTTTCGGTGGGGCAACCCTGTTTTCAGAGGGCGGCCCAAAAACCAATTTTGGGCCCTGCTGCACACTCCTCTTAGTGGTCATATACATTTGCCAATGCAAACCAACTTATATACATAATGCACCTTAGTAACTGCTCTTCCCAACTCCCATCACCGTACGTTCCCGTAATGTAGGAATGTGGCTAGTGTGTGCATGTACCTATGTATGGCTACACCACACTACAACCCTCCACTCACGCAATGTATCAATGTTTCAGAGTGTGTTCCCACGACCTCGTCCTGAGCTAGCCTCTTCCCTCTCGCCCTCTCACCTGGAAGGGTGCACCTAGGACCCCTTGTCAAACTAGTAACCCCTTATTCGAATTCGCTTTCCAACCGCATCAAATCGACTTGCGCCGAAATTGCATCGATCCTTCATCAGATTGGACCAGCCGCGATCACTTGTAAACATCCATGCTTCCGTTGCCCCCAGCGGTATCCCCTGTCCCATGGCGAGCGGTGTCAGTCAAGTGCAGAATAGCCTTTTTATGGTATGGAGTGTGATCCCACTCCACTTCCTATAGCTCACGGGTCACTTGTCAACATCCATGCTTCCCCTGCCCTCAGCGGTATCCCCCGTCCCGTGGCCAGCCGTTTGAGCCGTGTGCAGGACTGCCTTTCTTAGATCGGAGGACGAGCACAGGTCCAGGAGAGAGAGACCCTCTGGGTCTTTCATGTGGATGTTTGTGCCATGCCGCACTAGGAGAAGCACCACCTGATGTCAAGAGATGCGGTGGCGGGAGGGGCGGGGGGCAGGGAGGGGGGGGAGGAGGGGGTGGGGGAGGGAGCGAGAGGGAGACAAGGGTGGTGTAACAGGACGGTTGGAGTGTGCCCAGGTGCAGGAAGTTAACGGTGCTGAAGTTTGACAGAAGCAGAGGTGCTAATGGTTGGGTGGGGGGACGAAACAGCAGAGGACCAAGAGGGTGAGAGGCCTTCTCAGTCCTTCACACGGATTCTGGTGCCTTGCCGCACCAGTAGAAGCATGCCCTAAATGGAGAAAAAAGGGGGTGGGCTGAGAGGGAGGGAGAGGCAGAGGCGTGTAACAGGATAGCTGGTGTATGCTGTGCTGCTGTGCACCTCACCTGCAGGGAGACCGACAAGAGCAAGGGTGTTGAGGGGGAGGAGGACATCCAAGGGGGAAAGAGGGCTTCTGAGTACTCCGCATCAATGCAGTCAGCCCCACGTGCATGCCGTGCCCTGACGCCTCAAGCCTCACTACGAGAAGCACCCTGCAGTCAGCTTCACGCCTGGTTGCCAACTTAGCCTCAAACCTCCATCCCCGCCCCCCTCGCCTTCCCCCCCCGCTCCCCAATGCACGCTCCTGGTCGTGCGTGCAATCAGTAGCAGCCATGGCAGGCATGCGCGCAACAGAGCACCCTGCCATGGCGGCTCACACCTCAGAGAGCGCGCGCCATCTCCCACAGCAGCAACACCTCAGTCTGATGCACGTATGGTGCGCCTATGAATCCACTCTAACCTCCACCCCCCACGCACTCACCTGTTCAAAGCATCCAAACACCCACCCCCGCATCGCCCCCCTCCCCAATTTGTTCGTTCTTTTGGTTAGAGCATGCCCTCCACCCTCCCCCCAACGATTGTGGTTAGCGCATGCCCTCACCTGGTCGTGCGCGCATTCAGCAGCAGCCATGGCGGGAGTGCGCCCAGCAGCGTCCGTGGCGTCGATGGCAGCGCCCTCCTCCAGCAGCACCTCGCACGCCTCGCTCTGGTTCGCACCCGCTGCCCGGTGCAGAGGGGTGCACCCCACCTGAAGGGCAGGAAGTACAGGGGGAGAGGGAGAGGTTGAGACGATGGGGAGGGGGGAAGAAGAGCGGGAGGAGGAAAGGGGGAAGGAAGAGTAGTTGGAGGGGGAAGGGGGGAGAGACGAGGGGCGAATGGAGCAGAGCAGGAGAGGGCCCTGTGCCATCAGTGTCTCAGCACCACCCTCTTCCAGCAGCACCTCGCATGCCTCGCTCTGGTTCGTGCCCGCTGCCCTGTGCAGAGGCGTGCAAACCCGACCTACGGGGGGAGAAGAAGAATGGGAGGAAGGGCAGGAGGGGAGAGAAAGGGCGAGTGGTGGGGCAGAGCAGTAGAGGGAACTGTGCTGTCAGTACTGGATACATCCCCCACCTCGCATGCCTCACTCTGGCTACTCTGGTTTGTTCCCACCGCCCGGTGCAGAGGCGTGCACCCCACCTATGGACGTAGAGTGAGGGGGTGGAACAGATAGGTCATTCATAAGTAAACTGCAAAGCGAGGAACGGCAGGATGGAGGTTGTGGTGGTTGGGGGGACGGGGAGGGAGGGGGGGCGGGGGGGTGGGTTGGGTGATTAGTAACGGGTAGGTGAAGAAAGGAAGGGACTATGCTTGCATGCTGGTTGGGCACAGCCCTGCGTTTGGCCCAGAAACACTGCCCTGTCTCCAGACTCTTCCTGGTCAGGGGCCGATGCTCAGGCGTATCAAAACTGAACTTGCGCAAAATTGAGCTTTACAGGAAACTAACTTTTGTTTGTACAGGTAATGGCTGTGGAAGCGCCTCACAAGTCGGAATTATGGCCAGCCGCCGCCGTACCTTGTCCCTCTGGTTGATCCCTCTCTTCTGCACTTCAGGCGACCGGAGCAACGAATGCACGATGGCCACGTGTCCCTTGCTGGCAGCATAGTGCAGCGCCGCCCTCCCCCCTCTGTTCACCGCCATGGCATCCGCGCCTGCTTTCAATAGCACGTCCACCACAGCTGTTCTGCGGCTGCTGCTAGCTGACTGGGGGGAGAGGGACAGGAGGGGATGAAATCTGGCACATGAACGATAACGTTAACGTTAAATGTAAATCTGGCGCACTTGCCTTCAATGGCCCGTCCACTATGGCTATTCTTCCACTGCTGCTCGCTGACTGGGAGGAAGGGGCAAGGGAACAATGAAAGTGGCACACATCTATATAATGCTACAAATACGCACATGCGTCCGCACCTGCTTTCAACAATACGCCCACCACGGCTGTTCTGCCAGTGCTGCTCGCTGACTGACAGGGGGAGGGGGAGAGAGGGGAAGAGGTGGAAGAAGACGAGGGGGGGGAAGAGAGGGTGAGTGATAGTGGAACTATGGACATCAGAGGGAAAGGGTGACCACTGTATGCGCGCCTGCCTCAATAGCACGTCCACCACGGCTGCTCTGCCAGTGCTGCTCGCTGACTGACAGGGAGAGAGACAAGGGGAGATACATGCGGCACACAAACAGGAAGTGCACAGACTTGCACGCCTGCTTTCAATAGCACGCCCACCACGGCTGATCTGCCACTGCTGCTCGCTGACTGGAGGGAGGATGGGGAGAGAGGATGGGGAGAGAGGATGGGGAGAGAGGATGGGGAGAGAGGATGGGGAGAGAGGAGACAAAGTGGTGGAAGGGGGGACGAAGAAGAGCGGATGCGAGTGCGGCGGAAATATGCACGTGGATGAAGGTGTCTGCGTGGTGACACTCGCATGGCGAGTGGGCGGGAGTGGAGAATACATATGCATCCACACACAGGCGGGAGGGCGCATGTGCATGCGGATAGATACACATGACGTGTCTCTCTATACATCGGGCCACCATAGCAAGTAGGCCGCTCATTGCCGGTGGGAGGGAGGGAGGCGCGAGCCAAACCAATCAAATCAAATCAAACGAATCTGAACCTCGCTCAATGCTATCCGCTCCCGCTTCAGCCACCCATCCCCCGTACCCATCCATCCCTCTACCGCACCAATACCCAAACCCAACCCACTCGTCATCGCTCTACCCCACCACCACCCCAACCCACACCCCTCCCTCCCCCCCCTCTCGCCCACCATGAGCGGCGTCCACCCCTCGTCATCGCTCACGTTCACGTGCCCCGCGCTCTCCGCGCCCTCCACCCCGCGCAGGAGTGCGCGCACAGCCTGGGAATGGGAACGGGTGGTTGAGGTTGTAGGTAGATTTTGATTCGACTCAAAATACACCAGGCAATTGGGGATTTCGGGAGAGGGGGAAGATGGGACGGGAACCAAGAGTGGCGTCCACGCGGCCCTAGTTCACACGCCCTGCGCTCTCCGCGCCCTCCGCCCCTCTCACCAGCGCGTGCACGGCCTGGGGGCCGCAGGCGGTGAGGGAACACGCGGAAGGGGAGGGTACGGGGGGTAGGGGAAGAGGGGGCGGATGGGAGCGGGGCGGGGGACGGGTGGGGGAAATTGGGGGGGGAAGGGGAGGGAGAAGGGGGGGAGGTGGGGGGAGTTTGCGGAGCAGCACATGAGGGGAGGGCGAGAGGCGGACAGTCTGGTCGGTGCAACGCCTTGTTGCGCCCTGCTACAGCGGCGCTATCTCGAGCAGGGCGACTAGCACGAAAGGAGAGACTTTTGTGAATTCTCAACTACTCGAGCGGGACTAGCACGAAACGAGAACCAGAGCACACGCGGAAAGCGATCAGGTCTCCCGAGGGTCCTACTAGTGGGAATACTAAGGTGGCACCCGCCTTAGTAGGAACGTTCACCCGCAACCCGCCGTCTCTCTCACCCCAGCGCGCCCCCCCGCCGCAGCGATGTGGGTCGTTCGAATCGACTCAAAAGGAACCGCCGCCCGCAATATGTCTCACCCCGGTTACAGTGGAGTCATTTTGAGAAGTCTCAAAAGGAACCGTCGCCCACAATATGTCTCACCCCGGTTACAGTGGAGTCATTTTGAGAAGTCTCAAAAGGAACCGCCGCCCGCAATATGTCTCACCCCGGCGCGCCCCCCAGCTCTTGAGTCGACTCAAAAGCAGACTCAAAGGAAACCGTCGCCCGCAATATGTTTTTGAGAAATCTCAAAAACAAAACACGTTCAAGTCGACTCAAAGGGAACAGCCGCAGTGTCGACTCAAAATCATACTCTAAGGGAGCCGCCGCCCGCAATATGGCTCACCCCGGCGTGGCCCCCAGCCGCAGCGACGTGGATCGCGGAGCGGCCGTCGTCGTTGCGGAGAGCCCTCGCGGCGACGAGGTGATCGCCGGCCAGCGTCATGAAGTGCGCCTCGTCGCCCGCCTCCGCCGCCCGCCACACCGCCTGCTCCTCGTCCTCCGACAGCTTCGCGCGATCTGCGGCCGCCATGCATGTGCCCGAGAAGCGGAGAAATCACCCAAATATTTTACTGTACAAGAAGGAACTCGAATCTTGCACCCTTTGGATGGGAAATATGGATTACCGAATTCTATGTGTTCGTTGTAAGACAAAGTGACCCGCTTTTGTGGCCAGATGCCTGTCACAGAGAGGTACAGTTTTCCTGATGAGGCGGTCGTCTTATTCTATTTGATGTCCCGTTGAGCACTTTCAAGGTTGTATCGCTCTTTTTTCTTGGCTGCGGATTCTATACTGTCTACTCTGGTCAATCCAATCATCGGGAAAGTTGAGTACCTGAACCGAGAAAGGCTTATGCCGCTAGCATGCAATAAAAAATGGCAATCGCAGACACTCCCATGTTCCATGAAACGTTTGATGGGCTAAGAACAGCCCTAGGATCTTTTCAGAAGACTAAATCCTTATAATTAAGGGCTTGATAGCACAGCGGAAGGCTTGAGTGAACCCTTGTATCTCAGAGTTAGAATTGTTGAATAGAATGAGAATCTACAGAGGGTATATAGCTAGTGGGTTGTACGCTCTATGGCATGACCCTACAGTAGGTAGTCTATCAAACATACACAAATATGTTTGACACACCCCCTAGACTAGATAGAGGCGGAGCCTGGTGAGAGACAAGCAGTTCAGGGCGGCACTACTAGTCCAACCTCTGAGGCAGGGGTCTAAAGACCAGTCAAGAGAGTACAAACAAGGCAAGAGCAAGACCAAGGCGGCACTACTAGTCCAGCCACTGGGAGAAAGCCACAAGGCCAGTCAGGAAAATATATAAAGAGTTATACACAATCAAGGTCCTAGCAAATGAGGTGCTACAGGAACGAGTCCAAGATGTACGCAGTGCCGTTGATGATCTTTAGGCGCAAGCGCCTTCGTAAAGATATCAGCTGTGTTGGCACTGGAGGCCAAGTGTACTACGCGAGCCTAGCGACGCTGCTGTAGCTCGCGCAGGAGGAAGTACCGCAGCAAGATGTACTTCACTCTGCCCTCGAGACTTGGCTCCTGACACAGGAGGATCATGGCCCTGTTGTCAGCGTACGGGACCGGAGTAGAGCTAGGCCGCTCACGTACGTATGCGAGCAAGAAAGTCGGCCAACGGAGCTCCTGTGCCGCCATGGCACCGGCGTAGATCTCAGCCTTACAGCTAGACTGGGCAACAGACGACGAGCGGGTGGACCTCCACGAGACAGCACCTGCACCAAGGCTAAAGCAGTAGCCCTGGGAAGACCTGAGAGTCTCGGCGTCGTCTGCCCAAAAAGCGTCTGTGTACCCGGTAAGGATCACTGGTCTCCGTCCTCATAGCACTAGCCCCATGCCCGATGTACTTGCTAGATAACGCAGAACCCTCTTAGTTGCAGACCAGTGCAGTGGTCGGTGTCTCCCGGAGGCCACAAAGCAGGCCAGAATGCTGAGAGGGTATGCGAGATCTGGACGAGTGCAAGTCATCAGGTACATGGGGCAACCCACCAGCTCTGCGCAAGGACCACTAGGCTCTACAGCGTCCTCCGGGACTTGAGCAGAGAGTCTATGGTCTAGTAGCAGAAGTGTGGGCTGTGCGGAAGAGAACTGAAGGCCGAACCTCTGAAGGACCTGGCACACCAAGTGTGACAGTGTGACAGTGATGGTGTGTGCTACTCAGTCCCTGGAGATCTGCAAGCCAAGGTAGTGGCGCAGCTCTCCTAGGTCAGAGCAGCTGCGTCTCCTCAGCAGCTCGGCCTTCATGGAGGCCAGCGCGTCTCTGTCTGCAGTAGCAAAGACCAGATTGTCTACGTAAACAAGGATGTAGAATGGAGTCTGGCCGGAACGGACGAAGAGCGAGGGGTCTGCAGACGACAAGAAGAACTGCAGGTCAGCAAGTATAGCACGCAGCGTATCGTGCCACTCACGGGGCGCCTGGCGCAGGCCGTAGACAGAGCGACGGAGGAGCCACTCGGTGCTAGGGGGAAAGGTAACGAAGAAGCCTTGGGGGCGACGCACGTAGACCTGCTCGTGTAGACTGCCCTGGAGGAAAGCTGTGTAGAAGTTGAGTGAGTGCAGCTCGTAGTTACGCTGTGCTGCTACGTGTAGCAGTGCCCGGAGAGTCGTCATCTTCGGGGTCGAGGTGAAGGTCTGAAAGAAGTCAACCCCCTCACGTTGACTGAAGCCACGAGCAACGTAACGCGCCTTGAAGACGGGCGACTCTCTAGGAGGGCGCTTCACCTTGAAGAGCCATCGGCCATCGACTACGTTCACCCCAGGTGGGGGAACTGCGTCGACGAAGGTACCGGTGGATCTCTAAGATGCCAATCTCTTGCTCCATGGCAGCTATCCATTGAGAGGCCCAGGTTCCCGAGGTGGGCTCAGCGTACGTTCGAGGGGTCAGGATGTCAAGGGCGTCTGGGTCACCCTGAGAGACTAGCAGCATAGAACAGAGATGGGGAGCGGCCTTGGACAGGAAAGCAAGCTCGTACTGTCTGTCCACTAGGACGTCACTGCCAAGGGCAGCCACACCCCCGACGGATGGAGGGGAAGAAGGGTCAGAGACCAAAGCGGTGGCGTAGTCAAGGCGGCGGGTAGCGGCAAAGTCAGTGACAGCAGCAACAAGAGCCGACAGACTCGAGACAGGAACGGACGGGTCAGTAACAAGAGAGGCAAGGACACGAGGAACAAGGGGACGCGTAGCACGGAGGAAGTCAGAAAACGGAGGTGGGGCCATAGCGAGCGACGATGGAGGAGAAGACGGGAGGAGCAAAAGCACGAGACTCGTGGGAGCGAAGCAACATAGGGTGAGAACGCGGAACAGGGGAGGTACGACGAGCACGAGACGGACGACGAGCCCAGACGTGAGACGGAGGAGTCGGGTCAGGAGAGAGGGGAGGAGACACAGGAGGAGAACGAGGAGGGAAACGAGCTAGAGTAGAGTCCACTGGAGGAAACACAGGGCGGTAGACCGGCAGAGGAGGAGGCGGCGGCGATCGAGGAGGCACTGGCGGGCGGTCAGGAGAAGGAAGGCCAAGGAGGCGAAGAGCGGACACCGGCGGCGACGATGACGGCTGCTGCCCGACGCCAACACCAAAACCTCTAGCAGGACAACGGCTCCCTCCGAGAAGCCCCACGCTAGCACTCCCAGAATGGGAACTCGCTCCAGTACCCGCTCCGGCACGCTCCCCGGCACCCTTAGAACGCACAAACCCTAGCGGTGGTGACGACGGTGGTTGCGGCTGCAGCGGCGACGGCGGCTGCGGAGGCGGCTGCGGCTGTGACAGCAACGGCGGCGACAGAGGAGGAGAGATTGGGGCGGGGACAGGTGGGGGAAGGGACTCCACCGAGCCGCGAGAGTCAGAAGACCCCTCGGCAGGGACAACCGACGGGAGGGGAGTGACGTGAGACACACATGACGGGGCAGGGCGGGGAGGGGGAGGAGCAGGAGCGACCGGTGGAGGGGAGGGAACTAGGAACTGGGGGGGGAGTGACCGAGGGACCATGGTGGGGAAAGTGGTGGTAAAAGGAGACGGACTCAACAAAAGTGACGTCGCGAGAGTGAAAGAAATGGTGAGATGGCGAGTGGTAGAAGTGCGAGTCAGACGAGTCGAGGGGGAAACCTAGGAAGACATAGGGGACAGTACGGGCAGTAAGCTTGTCCCTGCCAGGTGCACGAATGTGAGCAAGGCAGCCCCAGACGTGGAACGCAGACGCGTCACCAGGAGACCCGGTCCAGAGGAGGGTCGGCGAAACCTGCGGCCGCTGAGGGTGCGGCCACAGGTTAAGCAGGTGGGCGGCGTAGCGAACGGCGAACGGCCACAGAAAATGGGGTGCACCGGCATGGATCATGGAGGTACGAGCCACCTCCATGACCAAACCGATGCGTCGCTCAGCGACCCCGTTTTGTTGTGAGGAGTCCGGCATGCTGTACGTCTGGGTGGTGCCCTCCGCACGAGAGAAGCGACCAAGGCAACCAGAGGCGAACTCGCCACCACGGTCGGAGTGAAGACGCAACACAGGGAGACCTCGGTGCACATGTGCAGAGACAAGCCACGGGATAAGAACGTCGGGCACGTCGGCCTTCCGCTCCAGGGGAAACACGGTGGTGTGGCGAGTGTAGTCATCGACAAGCACTAGGAATTAATGCTTACGACGTGGCCCATGGACGGGGGCGGGGCCCCAGACGTCCATGTGCAGGGTCTGTAATGGTGCGGTGGTGGGGGGGGACGAGGAGGAGTGAGGGGCATGGCGGAGCCGGCCCTCGACGAAGGGGGTGCATGGAGGCATTGCTGAGGAGGGGAATGCAGGGAACGATGCAGGGAGACCTAAGACAAGACCGTGCTGAGACATGTGACGAAGACGTGTAAGGGCGGAGTGACCTAGGCAGTGGTACCACAGAAGCGACGGGTGAGTAAGCGACCGACACGAGCAAGTCGCAGCAACCTGGGTAGACGCTGCCACCTGGGGGGGCGTCCCAACTGGGGGGGACGCAGTGTCCAGCGTGAACAGGCCAGACACCGGGTCCCGGGGGAACGTGGTGAGGGGGGCACCTGAGGCGGCCTCGGTACAGAGAGCGTACCTCTCGTGACCACGGAATGTAGTGGTGACGCCGAGGTCCTGAAGACAGCCGATACCAACTAGATTCCGAGAGAACGAGGGAATGTGCAGGCCTGTAAGAGAGCCCGAAGGAACTGCCGGATAAGAGAGAGTGGTGGAACTAAGGGTTTGCAAGGGTAGCAGGGACGCCGAACGGCGTAAGCATAGTGTGGTTCCGAAAGAAACACCGAGACGCGCCAGAGTCGAGAGTGAAAGAGAGCGCGGCAGTGGCGGTTGGGGGCGGAGGAGCTAGGGTGGAGACAAGGCTAAACAAAACAAATGGTCCTACACCTGATGCAGCAGGGGAGACTAAACTAGGCACACTGGATACACCTACACTAGGCAACATGGGGTAATAGGAACCAGTCACATTAGAGTCATTGACATACAGCACATACAAGGCAGAGCTAATCTCATCCATGTCCATATCAAATATCCTAACACCACGGCGGAGCAGATTGTGCCAGTCGAGGAGGTTCGGCGCAGGGCCGAA